GAACCTTTTGTGAAGGGGATTTGGTTTTGAAAAGAGCACTTTTAATTCCAAGGGAAATACAAAAAAAGTGAGTGCCTAATTACGATATCCATATGTGGTGAAGAAAGTGTTCTTTAGATGAGTTCTTCTCTTGATGAAGATGATGAGGTCTTATCAAAGCTCGGTGAATTTTAAGGTTGTAAAAAATTATCATACTTAGCTTACGAAGTTTTTCTTTGTTCCATTGCAAGAAAGAAAATAATCTAAATTATGACTAAATATTTACTAGTTTAATCATTTTGATTTTGCTTCTCTTATTTTTTGATCCATCTCGTATGAATTATTTTTTATTTTTAATCTATCAAAATAACCTATGCCCTCACCAAAAGTGATCAATCCTATAAAAAAGAACAAACCTTTCATTAGTCTCATGCATAATCTCATATTTTAATGTGATTTAGGAAAAATTGTAACACAAAGTAAGGGCAAACGATAGAATTGATAAGAATTTTATTAGCTTTTAATAGATGAAAAGGCCTTTTCATAGACCTTTTTTTAAAAAAAGAAAAAGAAAAAGAAAAAACACAATGAACAATAGATGACGATGATCAAATGTTGCTTTGATATTTATGAGATGCAATCCATCAACGTGTAATGGCAAGGATCAAAGTGTTTGGGAGTGACGATCTAAGGGCATAAAGGATAAGTTGTCACCAGTTCAAACGTGAAGGTAATGTCCTTCTAGGTCATGTGAGCAAAGTACTAGTCGATAAAAAAAAAAATTCAAACGACATATGATTAAACAAAAAAAGTCTATATGAACAGACTAGCCTAAAAACCTCAAGCCTATTCAAATGGGGATGGATTGCAACTAAGAGGGAAGTTTATGTTTTGGTGGTGATAATTTATTGTTTCTTTGATGATGGTAAGGTTAAGTCACTTACATTCTCATGCATTGCTAAAAGGAGGTAACCTTTTTTACCTCGGAGACGGTTACTCGTGTTGTCATGTGTTTTGAGGAAGGTACTCCATAATTGACTAGTGATTTAAGGATAACAAATCATCATTTGATTTATTTGTTTGTGTTCTATTTGTTTACCATTTTTCTATGATTTTCTTTATAAACTTACTATGCGAAGCTAAAGAAATATCAGCTTTTTAATGGTTTCGTGTCATAGGCTTTATAAAAAGGAGGCAACTATCGGTATCCAAAATTTACCAAAAAAATAAAAGAAAGAAAGAAAGAAAAGGGACTAAAAAGACATAATTGGGGGATGCAATTGAAAAAAGAGAGATAAGTATCGAAATAAAACAAGTTGGCAAGTAGAGAGACTAAATCTAAAAACCCTAAAAAAAACTAATATAAATACAGACCTTCTCTCTCTAAAAAGCAAGCGACCACACACACCTTATCTCCTTAAAACAATTCTAGCCGGCCCCTCCTTCATGTCTAGTCGACCCTTCTAGTCGGCTTAGCCACTCCTTTATTCCAATCTAGTTACTCCTCCATATCCAAGTCGAACCTTCGACCACTCCAAATCAATCAACACCCTTTCGAAAACTAGTCGATCGGATCCAACGAGTGATAGCAACCCCTCCTCTACTAATCCAACCCGAACTAGTAGCCTCTAGTTGCTTGGTTTCTTTTGTAATAACAACATCGATTAGACTAATAGTCCCTCGATGTTCAACTCGTCATACCTCTTCCGTTTAATGCCAAACCATTCGATAACAACTCTTCTAGCCCAATCTAGCCATAAATCATGATGAAGCAACCACCTAAGGTCTAGTTGTCCTTCCCTTAGCTCGATCTAAACCGACCGCAATCTCGAGTTGATCGGACGAAACCAACAACCTCTCCTGCAGCGAGATCCAAATCGACCAACAACATGCAATCTATACAGCCCTCGCAGTAGCCACTCGATCCATATCCAACAATGTGTAACCATCTCTCTTTCTTGATTGATCGAATATTAGTCTCCATCGAGGTTGAAAAGGTCAAAACCGACCCCAATTCGACAGATCAAATCCATTCCGCTTTTTACGATAATTTATTTTTTACCTTTTATTTTATTTTAATATATATTAAATTTAATTCATGCTCGATGTGTCTATAATTAATTAAATTGTCTTTGTTATGTAAATTAATTAAATGGTTAATTATATATGATTTGATTAAACTGTTGCTATGTAATTAAACTGTCATTGTGTTTGTATTGATTTGATTGATGTTTGTGATTATTGATTTGATTGTACGATTTGTTATTGCTTTTGTGATTTTTTTTAGTTACGTTAGTTCAAATATGACTTTTGGACCACTTTTTCCAATCGTGACAATTAACTAAGTTGTGCTAATTTGTTCTAAAAAATGCATGGTTCTTTGCATCGATCCAAACCATGTTTTTTGGACCATTTTTATTGATAGTAATGTTAAATCACTCGCATGCTTATTTTATCTAAAAAATACAATTTTGAATATGCCAATTTGAAAATCATTGTTAGGATCTTTTTTTTTTTTGTCAAATGACGATTAATTTTGACAATTTTGCCAATTCATCCAAAAAATATGATTCTCAAGTTGTGTCGGTTCAAATTTCATTTTAGGATTGTTTTTTTCCCATTGCAATGGTTAATTGATACTATACTAATTTATCTTAAAAAATGTGATTTCGAATCGCATTGGTCCGAGCTTTGTTTTGGACCATTGTGGCATGTTGTGATAATTAATTTGATATTGTGCCCATTTTGCCTAAAAATCACGACATTAAAAGTCATGTCGATTTGAACTTCGTTGTCAAATCGGCTTTGTCATTTTTGTGAACTTTATCAATTTTGCCATTTTTGCCCCTTTTTATCGCTTTTGGTCTTCTTTGCCATTGTTTTTGCTAATTTTGTCATTTTTATCGTTTTTACCAACTTTGTCATCATTTTTGCAAATTTTAATGATTTTTGCCTATTTATCTATTTTACCTATTTTGCCTATTTTACTTGTTTTTTTTATTTTCTTATTTACCTATTTTTTCTACTCGTCTATTTGCCTATTTCACATATTTTCCTACTTTTGCCTATTTTACATATTTGCCTATTTTTACCCATTTTCCTATTTGTTTATTTTGCGGTTATTGCCTAATTTTCCTATTTGACTATTTTATCTATTTTGCCTATTTTGCATATTTGCCTATTTTAAGTCTTTTCTTCACGCATGCCATGCAAGTTGTATTAGCCACATATCTTTCTATTCATCATGTCTTTTCGTTTCCTTAGTTGTTCATTACAAAATGAAGACAAGGTCTCCGATCGACCAAGCCCTAAATCATTCAACGAGTAGGCAAATGTTTGAAAAATAGGTTTAAACTTTCATCATTAAAAAAATCAGAAATCAAATTAGTTTTTGTATGCAATGTAGCTTGCCTTAAACGGGACGGGGCGAGGTGATCTTAATCTTTCTTATATATAATAAATCCCTCACTCGAACTTTGAATAGATCGGTTATACGATTTTCTAGTAACCATAATACTAGGTTGCGACTCCTGTTATTTTTGCCCATTTTTCTATATCCAAAAAATCAACGCCCTATGACAACACTCAAACAAGAAAAAAAAAAATTGGATACCAAAATTGCAGTTTTCTTAAGAAACCTATTACCTCCGGATCATGAAATTAGTCTAACAATTTTCACTCAATTGCATTACTAATAAATATTTTACATATCATGCTCATGATATTTTCTACTTACCAAAAATATTTTTTTAGTAATATCTATTAGTTAAAAAATATTTTTTAAAATTTTAAATCTTTTTAATTGTATAAAAAAAATTTTACATTATGCTATTTAAATATATATAAAGTCCAATTAAGATTAAATCTAGGAAAATAAAAAATATATAAAGTTTAATTATGATTGCCAACTATGGAACAATTAAGTGGTTGGCTAATGGAGAAAATTACAAGGAACAAAAACTACTTCCACCATCTAAGGAGAAGATAGGTCGGCATGCCATTAGTGACATAAGCTTTCTATGATCAATAACTTTTTGAATTTTTTATAATAGTTTGAGATGAAATAGAATCAACATGAATAAATATAGCGATGAAGCTTTTTGGTTTGGACGTTGGAGGCGTAGTATTTTTATTAACAATGACAATTATGATGAAGATAATAAGTAAAGTGTGAATTAAGATAAAAAAAATAAATGAATTGTTAACATTCCTTGAGAAATTAGCATAATAACAAGAAAATATGAATGTATGTATTAATGTTCTTAAGATGTAATATATATGTCTTTTAATATTTGAAATTTTTTTTTCAAAAATCACACACACACACACACACACACACATATAAAGATCATGAAGATACAAAAATTACATGAAATCTATTTATAACAATAAAGGAATAGATTAGAGTGAAAGAAGGTGTAAGAAAACTACAATAAATTTCTTGAAAAAAAAATAGTAATTTTGGTGTCTAACCTTTGATTTTTTTTTTTTTTTAGTATCTAAGCGGTAAATTCTTCTATTTAATTACCTAACCTTTGACTTTCATGTGTTTGACATGATCTGTCATGTGATTTTTTTTGCTGTTATGTTACAGCTTAATTTTAGAAATGTCAATATTTCATGCTCTTATATAACTGTAGATACTAAAAAAAAAAATTCAAAACTTGGGTATTGAAATATAAGAAATTAGCTTGAAGATATTGAATATAAAGACTTTAACTTGTCTATAATCATTCCTAGAGAATGACTTTGAATCTTTCGTTAGTTAGGAGTGATTATAAAAAAGTTAAAGTCTTTATATTCTATAACTTTAAGTCAAAAGTAGCACACACGATATTGATTCACGTGTGTAGAATCTTTCTTTGGTGAGGAGTGATAATGAACAAGTTCAAATAATGAATTACATTGCTCAAATCGTTTAAATAATGAAGCAGAATTATCAGATATTCATCACGAATTAAATCAAAATTTAAAAATACATAAACAAATTGAAAGTTCAAAGAATAAAGTGTAAAAGGGACATGATATGTGTCAAGTAGGGTACTGTCGTCACCCGATGGCACCCTAGAAAGCGAACGACAAAGGCAATATTGAACTTTCAACATTGGACGTCTATTACTTTGGTCCATTAGATGTTTTAAATCATTTGGCTCTTGCCTGCTTGCACTCATCAGACTTTTCAGCCTGGTTGCTTTCTTCCTGGTAATTCAGAGTTTCAGACTTGACAATGCAATTTGAACCATTATTTTTCTCAAGCAATACATAGAGAAAGTTACAAAGTCAGAGCTGTTATTCACAAAATTATCTTCCCAAAGAATTTTTGGGTCATGGCTACAATTAGGTGCGTGATGAAAACGCAGGCTACTCATTAGTCTTGTGAAGATGCTCTAAAGCTAAAGGAAAATGTGAAAAAGTGAAGCCAATAATGTATGGTGTATAGTCGATGAAAATTATATTTTTTTCAACCAAGACAGGGACTGATTCATTAACTCATCCGATTTGGAAGAAAGATGATTTTCTAACCCAAATATCTTGACAGGCCGAAAGCATCACTAAATCACCGGTGCCGTAGGTAAAATAACGAGGTAAGAGAGCTTAAACCAGAAAAAATAATTTGGAAACATACAAATCAACTCAACTTAAGCCCATGAATACTCAAGCTCACAAATTAATCGTATAAATATTTGTCATATTTTGAGAAAAAATCACCAAACAAACAGACCCGCCAACCCCATTATCTCATTCTATCATAAAGCAATTGGTATAATTCTACAATTGAAAACCCAAACCCACTCTGTTCCTAATCCCCAAATTTAAAATCCCAAACATCGATAGATAGTAGCTTCAACATGGATAAAGCTTCGAAATATCTTCTTTAAGTTTTAAGACACCTTTATGCAAGCATAAGATGGAAACAACCATATATATTTCATGAACAAAATCGAACCCGGGAAAAAAGTTCCGTTGCTTGCTCATATTGGAAGGTATTATATTTTTTAAAATGAAATTTATGTCTCCGATCTTATTAGAAGGTATTGTTATTTCGATTCTTATTTGATATTTCGAGGTTGATAATTATGGGTATGGGAGGTGGATTGAAGAAAAGAGTAACGACTCGGAGTTGGAAAGCCAATGGTAATTGACATTAAAGAGTTAAAGGAAAGAATGGAGTTAATAAAAATACTTAGAAAAAAGAATTGAGGATTAATTGGAATCGAAGTAAAAAAAGAGAAAGCAAACAAGAGAAAGAGTTGATTGAATAAATGGATAAGATGAGATCCGAAGTCATTGAAATAAAAATTGAAATGCAAATAACGAGGCTTGACATGAAAGAGTTAGGAGGGAAAGTGAATGGCATTGCAAAGTGGTATTTATTGGCAACGATTATAGGTTTTATGTTATTAGGATATATGTTGCCTTGAAATAATCATAATAGAATGTTAGCTTTAAACTAAGAAATAAGTAAGCCTAGAAGACAGCTTTGTATATAGCATTACTTGTATTTTTATTACTTACCTTATTTTAAATGAAAAGTTCACAAATTGGTATAGATCATGTTGCTAATATATTATAGCGTAGAAACCGAGTGTAAACATGCAAAAAACATTTTCACACTAATTAGATTACATTTCATATTTGATAAAAAAATAAATCAAAGAATCACTTTCTAAAACAAGTAAGGAAGAAACCTAATAGTCTAGGTTTAATTTTAGTTAAGTCTATAGTTGCTTTCAAAATCCTTGTAAGACTACTTGTGACATTGGTTGTGAGATTACGGGGTAAGGATTTTTCCATCCTAAAAAGGTCAAGCCTTGATAAAGATCAAATCTAAATTGCAATAACTACTTCTAATAATCTTCTCTACATTATATTCTATACTATTACAAAATCTATCCCATTTTAAATGCAATCGATTAGATGACCAAATAAATATCTAGTCTTCTTCCTTATGTTAATACATTACACTAGCTACATCACAATTGTCAACTTTCATAACTCCAACTTTACAAAACTATGATTGGAAATGAAATATCTTATAACATCATTGGTAAAATGGTAAAAACAAGTGGTGTTACAAGATTAGTAGCCAAAAGCAAATCGACAAGTAGAAAACTATAATCTACATAGAAACAAAAGTGATTAGCTATAAACTTGCAGACAGGACTTTAGTTTAAAAAGAAGTTATGAATTTGACCATTGTAAAGAAATAATACTAAAGTGATGATTAATAAAAATATCTTTCCGAGTCAACTTGAAATGTTCACATAAAAGGAAAAAAAAACATGCTTTCTAATTAATATTCTCAACCATACACTTATGGTCCCAAAGATACAAACATATGCATATGCATATGGTCCCAACCTAAAATGTTCACATGAAAGCAAAAAAAAAAAAAATGCTTTGTAATTAATATTCCTAACTATATATTTATGGTCCCAAACATACGAAGGTATATGCATATGCATATGGTCCTAACTCGTCAAAACAAAATCATATGGATATGTTCCCAACAAAGGCGAAGCCAAGTCAATAACCATATCAAATACATATAAAAATATTAATATTTCCATGACAAGTAAAGAAAATAAATATTACCCAATAAATACATAATTTATCATAATATTTCAAAAAATATCACACATTCACAATCTATCATAAGTGCTTAAGTGGACCAAAAAATTGACTTTTGAATAGATCAAAATATTCATAAGTAGAGTCGTCATAGTGGTTTAGGAACTTTAATGGTTGATCTTGGCTTTTTTTTTTTTTTTTGAAAACTTTGCATTGTAGTTTACTTAGCATTTTTGAACACTTTGCCTTATATTTGGTCTAACATTTAATTTCATCGATTTTCCTCTTATAATAGTATCGACTTTGCCTCCAATAGTCATCTCGTTACATCAACATTAGGATTAGGTAAATTTATACTATGCAATCTAATCAATAAATCTATTAAAAATTAAGAAAAACACACTCAACTTGCCTTTAAGTACGTGTTACTAGTTTTTTCACTTACATACAATCCACAATCTTTGACTTTTTTTCTATCTTTTTTCATTAACTTTTACAACTGGGTCATATCTTGAAGAGACCAAGACAGATCCGAATGTAGAGGGGGTTTGGAGGTCGATGTATGGTGTGGTCTAAAAGTTGATGCACGAATGGATGTAGATATAGGGTGTGTTTTGAAAGTTGGTGCACCCATGGAGGTAGATATAAGAACTATAGCGCGATACTTTGGAGGTCTTCCTCTTCCTCTTTTAGCCTATAATAAAAGATAATGTAAAACAAATTCAGATTCTCATGAATTAAAACAAGTTAGCTAAACTTAAAGCATAAGCAAAAAATAATTAAACATGGACTTACATGAGTGGGAATTGAGTCCTCTTGTCCCTTATTTTTGTATGTTCTCTTGTTATGACCATAAGCATAACATTTTTAACATTACATTTGAACTCCAACTTTGGATGTTTTGTTTGTATTTCTTATTTCTTCACCCTATCCTATTTTGTTTTTTTCTTCGGCCTTTCTAGCCTTTTCTTATAAGGAGGGGGTAGCTCATCATGACCTTCCTTGACAAGCCATATTTTGAACTCAATTAAAGATTCAAGTTCATTTGAATATATTCTAACATTTGATTACATCTTGAAACAATCTACAATATAATTTGTAGTCTCACCCCTCATGAATGTTATACTTGCTACAACATGCTCGCATGGAATACTAGTGACATCACATGCTCTATAGTTGCATGAATTCCTTTTCAAATTAACAACCTATGTGTTCTCACCAATTCTAGCTTGAAATCTCTCACCAATAATTGGTACTATCCTATATGCACATGATTCAAATTTAATTTTTTTCAGCTTTCTTCTTACCTTAGGGTAGATTTCGTCACCGAGAGACTTCATCTATTGACTTTTTATGTACATCCTCTCTATTACATAGATCCCGATATCTTCTAGCAGATTTATTAATGGCTTTTCTCTAGCTTTGTGTATAGTCCTATTAAATGCTTCGACATGTTTATGGACACATCACACATTAGATTGGTCTTGAAGAATGCCTTACAAAACTTTGGAGGCCTAACTTTAACGAAGTCATCAAATATCGCCTCATCCATATTTTTTAACTTGTCTAATATGATATTTTAATCCACCAAATTCATAGCATTAATAACCTTCTAGAATAATTTCTTGTACAGACTCACCATTTGTTAGTGTAAGTGCCCACGATCCAACTATGTTTGGATAGATTTGAGTTATTGTAATATTGCATTATTTATTTTATTAATAATAAAAAAGTCTTTCTATTAATTCTTATAGTTTATATTTATTTATGGAATGGAATTAGATAAAATTCCATATGATATGCATTTGCATTAATGATTGATTGAAAGATATGAGACAAACATTAATGCACTTAAATGATATCATTAAATGTCTCAAGTCATTGCAATTTCAAGAATGAACATTAGCTATATGTGGTTAGACTTGTGAGTGTTATGCTCATGTTATAAGATAGTAGTAAGAGATCTCACACCTATTAACATGTTGATGCCAAAGTAATCAATTAGGTGATTAATATTAGAGAACATATCACTGGATTTGACTCGTCATGAGAAACCATTTGGTTTAAGCTATTGGAATCTCATATGAGATAGATACAACTAGTCCTTTGACTTAAAGTCATCACGATTATCTTATTAGAGGATTTATGTACTTTGATACTCATTTCAATTGACTCAATAAAAGGTTGCACATGGATAATTCGTTGGGTGCACAAGGAATCTAATGGAGGTAGATGGATGACTAAGATAAGACATATCATTCTTTGTATGCTCGAAGGAATTATCACATTGTACTTTGATGAATGTCCGCTCAACAGCCTAAGGCATTTAGGAATCGAAGAAAACTTGTATGATCATAATTGAATAGACTAATAACTAACTTCGAGATCACACTATGATAAATTGATTTGAGAACCGAATTATATGTTAACCATGCTAGTGAAAGGTAATTATGAATTAATTAATCCTTATAGAGAATTAGGTAGTCATGATGTCTCATTAGGGGCCGATCTTGATTTATATATCAAGAGATAAAATAGGTATCTTTTGTTCCCGATATATTTTTTAACTCACACACCCAATGCTCCTAACGTAACTAGTCCGCTAGGATTTTAAACCCATGACGTCT